TAAGGATCAGGAATCCTGCGATGTCTGTCACACAAAAACAACAACATCAACAAATTGATCAATTAAAAAGAAAATGAGATTGGTTTGTGAATAATTTCTTAATCTATTTTCATTTTGGACCGATGGAAGTAACAATTTACTCTTGATAAACCACAATTAGGTAATATCTTCATTATTTTTGTTCACACTCGAGTCACCGCCATCTTGGTGCAGTCGTTTGTGACCCCATGAGCGAGAACCAATCAGAATTGGATTTTTTTTAAGGCCACTTTCAGCCCAACCAAAAGTGAGTTGTCTTAACTCTGGGTATAAAGGGACTCTAGAAAAGATGGGGGTGTGTTAGTTAGTCGAGATCCTGAATAATGAATGGGAACTATACTGCCGTGCTGAGGAAAAACGCCGTATAAACATTCGAGAGTTGTCAGATTGCCCTTGATAAAACTCGTATTTTTGACGACATTCAGGCATATTTTCCCTTGGAATTTCAGACACTTTAAATTAAATTGCGTACAGAATTGTCCGAGGAATTTGAAGCACAATATTCACAAGTTTCCCCACTAATTCAGTTTTTATCGAGGGAAACTTGGCAACGTCTGAAGGCTTATATGGCGTTCTTCCTTAGGACGGCAGTATAAAGCGCCAATGACGTCGACGACGAAGACGGGGACAAGGAGATTCAAGTTGACGTCATTCAACTCGTGAGCCCTGTCCACAACGCTCTTGTTACATGCCCACGGCTTATGAGTGCCGCATTCAGTTGGCAGATAATATTTCCGTTTGGCGGAATGAAAAATCCCGCTTTCCCATTCCTCCAAAGGACACCAATATAAAAAGTTTAGTTTGAGCATGGTAAATACTAACACACTGAAAAAAATATGCCGGTAGATTTTACCATCTCTGACACAGTGATACGAATATGGTAATAAACACCAGACTCTATGGTGGCATTTACCATACTATGGTAAGAATCACCAGAGTTCTGGCGAATACTACTATAATTCTGGTTATTTCCACTAAATAGTATCACTGTGTAAAAAATCAAGTAGACTCATAGTAAATGTCACCATACTTTTTTTTCAGTGCAGGCGTTCGGACTTCTTTACCTTACTATGTAAATAATCAAGTGGACTCATGATAGAACGCCCCATAATTTTGGCAGTGCAAATTTATTCTGCTTTGCCTCCTTTTTCTTTCACCTCCTTTTTATCATCTTCTTATTTTCCTGGCTTCTTCCTCTCTCTGTTAAGATAAATTTTGTCTTGAAAGTAATATCTTGATGAAGATTCGAGTTGAAACTAACTTTAACATGCCCTTGCATATTTAGCTGAGAGCGCTGCGAAGAACAAAACGCCTTCAATTTTTTTGGATGCAACAAGGACATCCGCAAGACACGAATAGTTGTATCAAAACGTTACAGCATCAGTAGCCATGCGCGACGCAGTGCGGCGCGTGACCCTGCTATCGTTTTCCAGACGAAGAGATCATACAAGCCTGTTAAATTTTTTTAACACGCAACCCTCTCTTCCGCACGAACATAACAGAGCAATTTTCATCTAAAATTCCTGTTTTCCTTTCGAAAATAGTCCTAATCAGTTAAATTAATCAGTTAAATCATCAGTTAAATCAGTTCAATAATAAATATCAGTTAAATAAGTTAATCATTTAATAATCGTTAAATTTAATCAGTTAAATAATAATAATCAGTTAAATTTTCAATGAGTCATTCCTAATAGTTCCCGACTAAAATAAAGGATATTGAGATGAAATTTGGAAACTATGAAACAAGATTTCGTTTACTTTTTTTTCTGGGAAACGTCTTTGAAAATGCTCATGATGTATAAACCATGAGTTTTGAAAATTATTCACAGACACGTGAGACGTGCATCACATGACGATCCTGCGACCTCACCAAAAATAAATCCACTCCGGTTTTTTTTTTTTTTTTTTTTTTTTTTTTTTGTAGCTTTTGTGTGCAAAGAACTCATTAATAAAATTATCAAAATGGAAGGAAGCCCGTTAATTTTAAAAATCTTGTCGTCGAGCGTCGGAAGACGCTATACGAGCCGATGATGCAGTAACGCCTTAATGCAACTATTCGTGTCTTGGGGATGTCCTCATTGCATACACAAAATATTGAAGGCGTTTCATTTTTCGTTTCGCAACAAAAGCGAAAGCATGTCACAATTCGTTTCAACTCGATTCACCAGAAAGATGCAACTCCGAGAACAAACTGTATTTTTACAAAAAGAAGAAGAGGAGGAGAAGAAAATAAATAAGAAGAAGATGGTAGGGAGGAGAAAGAAAGATGGAAATAACCAGAAACAACGAAATGTAGCGAAGGAAAAGGAGGAGAATTGGATGAGAGGGGAAAACTAGAAGAATAAGAAAGAAGGAGCAGAGAAAATTAAAAGAAAAAAAGTGAAATGAGAAGATGAAAAAATGCGCTACGCACCTGACGGAGATCTTAACCTTCTCGTGTCCCCGCTCGGACCTTCGGTTCTTGGCGAACCGGTCGTGGTTCTTCCCCGGGGAATTGGCCACGGAGTTGGCGGCCGAGTTGGTGGTGGTGGTGCTGTTGGAACCGGTTCCTCCGCCCGTCCCGTGGTGGATGACCGAGCTCCGGCCCCGGTGGATCCGGAGGGTGAGTCGCTGCTCGTCGAACCGGTTCCCGAAGGCCCGCGTCCCCTTCGTCGTCCGGAACCCCTGGTTGATGGCCGTCGTCGTGTGGACCGCCGCCCGGTAGATCCGCCAGTAGAAGAACAGCATCACCAGCATCGGGATGTAGAATGAGCCTAGCGCTGAGTAAACCACGTACCTGCACATAATAATAACGATACTTCGTTTTATGATTCGTATCAGAACATAAAAACGTCACCTTCCGGCCAAAGTATCACGAGCGCCAGGCGACGTTTAAAAATTGCCGCCACCACTTGTTTTTTTATAGAGAATTAGGTCAGTTGCGCAGTTCAATATTAATCAAGATAACGCCATTTGAAAAGTCGGATTTTTGACGTCAAACTGCTTTAGAGACACCCATGGTTTCTTCCACCTTCTTTCCATCCAAACACTCTGAGTAACCAGTGCGTCACTGACTGATGAAAGCACGGCGGAAGAAACCACGGGTGTCACTGCCGCGGTGGGTACGTCAAAAACCCGACTTTTCGAAGGGCGATATCTCGCTTAATATTGAACGTAGAAAGCTGCGGTTTGACCGATCTTATTATTTTTAGCTAATCTGCAAGAATCAAGCATCAAAACACGATTCTGTGACCAACGCAACTGACCCATTGTTCAACAAAGCTGTCTTAAAATTTCACAGAATTTTCTGTGCTGCCGATGGAATTCAATGAAATTTTCAAACAGATTCAACCAACCTTTTCTCTGTAACAAAATAAAATGACGGTGGAAATTTTGAAACGTCGCATGGCGCTTGAGATAATTTGGCCGGGAGCTGACACAACAGTGTCAAGAAGGGAACAAAAACGGGCGACACCAAACTTTCAACTGAGACTGCGGGATCTAAAATACCTCTGAGGGGAGGATACGAACATGTCGGTAATATTAAAATTAAGTCAGCGAGCTTTCACCCAGGACCCAAAAAGGCAGCCAACCTTTTAAATCAAATTCTCCAAAATCATACAATATTACAGTTGGCTTCGATCGGTTATTTGTAAGACTCGCCTTTCCTTAGTTTCTGCATAAACTAACTCATTCTTGCAGAGGGCTGCTCATTTATGAACATTCTTGGCTAAGTGGGTTTGATGGAATCTGAGAATTGGCAACGGCACATTATTAGTTCCTTTTCGTGGTAGGAGGTTGAATACCCTTTTAGACCCTAAAAGATCTGTTCTTTGGCAAGTCCGTTCTCTTCACATAGAGGTCCTTTTTTTTTTTACAAATTTTCAAATAGTCCATAGAGCAAATCCCACGCTTATTACCCCAGTCCCAGATGACCATTGCCTGAGACCATGAAACTCAGTTCCCCTGGCCGGGGATCAAACCAGGGACCTCTAACTCATAGGGCCAGCACTATAACCACTATACCACAGAAGTCCAGGCACCAAGGTAAAAGTATTTATCTAAAATTCTCAATGTCAGGGTGTCTACTAAAACAGGCTGGCCAAAAATCAGTTCTTATATAGTACTTTTCCCGTACATTCCCAAGAAATTTAGTGCCCCCTCCACGGAAAACTTCAGTACTTTTTCAGTACCTTCACTCGACGAAATTCGAAAAATTTCAAAAATTTGAAAGTCTCGCTCAAATTGCGACAAAAATGACGGGAAAATGAAAACATTCCGGACCTTATTGCGGAATTTCCACACTTTTTCAGTACTTCCGGATCGTCCTTAAAAATCAGTACTATAAATGGACTTGTAGACACCCTGCAATGTAAATATAAGTAAAACGCCATGCAACGAGGGAAGGAAATCATACCCGGTATCAGACGTAAGCTCGCAAATCCAGGGGCACTTGGTGACGGTCTTGACGCTCTGCGGGCGGCGGGGGTCAGCGACGGTGGCGCCGCCCGGGGTGAGCGGTCGTCCGGGGAGGTAGGTGTCGTTGGACGGCTCCAGGTACAGCTCCTGGTGGACCATCTGCGAGCCCTTGTCCTTCCAGCCGAGGAGCGGCGGGAAGCAGATGACGAAGCTGAGGACCCAGACGCAGGCGATGAGGATCTTGGCTCGCTTCATGGACATGATCGACGGGTAGGTGATGGGGCGTGTCACCGCGACGTACCGGTCCAGCGAGATGGCGCACAGGTTAAGGATCGAGGCCGTGCACATCCAGACGTCCACCGCCAGCCAGATCGAGCACCACAGGTCGCCGAAGATCCACACCTGAAACAGGAACGACGATGTTAATAAGCGAATTTTCGCGATCGAATGTCATACATCAAACGAATTGATCAGTGCTGAGTGATGCCGATGATCGGTGATGTCAGGAGCCAATCAGAGCTCAGATTTTTTTCCTAAGTGAAATTAAGAAGAAAATAAGAAAACACGAAACACTAAAACACAGAAATTGCGAAAACACCAGACTTGAATTGACAAAACACAACAACAGAAAGAAATGACAAAACAAAAAGTTTGGTGAAAGATAAAGTTTCTGACATCGATTGCATCAATTCAAAAATCGAATTCAAGTCCCGGGGTGAATTCGAAATTTCAAATTGATGGATTTCAACGGTCTCTGGTGAGACCAACGAAGAAGTCGAATATCATTGAAAAAAATGCACAATCGTCGAATATCATTCAACGGTGAATGATATTCGATCGCGAAAATTCGCTTAGTGAGTGATTGCGGCGGTTGCAGGATCCAGAAATCGCCTTGGATACACGAGAAACAGATGAGCATGCACTGAAAAAAAATTCTCGGCGTTCTTACCAAGGTCCGTTGGTACCTTTACCATCCCACTTTTTTTACCAATTATTGGTAATTTTACCAAGACAGACTGGTAAGCTTGCCTAAAAATCGGTATTTTTACTGTTTTTTCAGGTAAGAATACCACTTTAATTGGTAATCGATTTCTGGTAATTTTGCCACTTTATATCGGTAATTCTACCACAGTCGATAAAAAAGATTGGCGTTTTTACCAAGGTCCAGTAAAATTACTGAGAAAGTTCAATAATTTCACCGAGATTTCTCGGTAAAATTACCAATTTCATAAATGGTAATTTTACCAAGAAAAAACTGGGATCAAATAGAACCCTAAATTCTTGGTAATTTTACCCTTTTCTTAGTAAATACACCGAGATTTTTTTTTCGGTGTGTTGCAAACTTTTGCTAGGGCAAAAATAAGGGTTAATTCTATTAGTAAATGCCTCAAAAATCACGATGAGCGCATTGACAAAGTTTGAAATGCATCGATTGATTTGCCATTTAAACCCATGGAAAAGGATCAATAAACAGGGTGTTCGGAACGAACACCTCAATTGCGGATTCTTTACCATGGTTTGAAATGGAGGGAAACGATCGACCGTTCAGGCCTCGCCACTGGTAACTTTATTTCAATGTTGCAACATTGACTCAAATATTTCAAATTTTCACTGGGAATTGGCAGTGTAATTTAAATGCGAAAAATCGATGATTTCGAATAAGGTTAGTGGAAAAGTAAGTTAGAAATGCCCGAAAGTGTCTCAGTATACATTTTTGCAAGTTTGTAAAGTGGTCAGGTTTTCATCTGGGAAACGAAAAATCAAATACCTAATTGAAATGCGTTCAGAAAGAAGGAACCAAGCCACATCAGCTATTGCCAACTTGAATTTCATTTTTTACAAGAGAAATTTTTTGCGGATTCCTCTGGAAATCTTCAAGAATTTGCTTCCTTCTACGCAAAAAATTCACTGAAATTTTCACAAAAATCCGCACAGCCACTTTCATGATAAAAAATGAAATTGCCGAATTAAATTTGGCAATAGCTGACGTGGCTTAGTTCCTTTCTGCGTAGCGCGGTCGAATTTTCGAAGACTCTAAGATGGGTCCTCTCAGTTTATGCCAGGATTCTGAACACGTTGACGAGAATTTATCTACCGTGAGACAAAAATCACCACTCAAAGCTGACACACAGCGCCAGAAACAATTACGCCGTAACAATTCATCTCCCGGAGCCGCCAAAATAGAGGCCGTCCCTCGTGCACTATCAGATCCGACCATTAGTGAATTATCTTGTAATGACCTCCCGCGGTGGCCCCTGCGGTTTCCCGGCAAGCCACCCGCAAAGCTTCCACGCTCACTTATTACCGCATGACCGGCGCAGGTAGCCGTTTAGCGGCACATCACTCACCGTGATTGACCGGAAATATCCGTAAATTGAGTGCGGCGCACAGTGTATCGAGCCGATAGGAGACGTCGGATAACATCTGGAATACTTGTAAGCATATTTTTTTGAGAATATGAAACAAAAACGTTTACAATTTGTTACATTGGTTTTTTCGTGAAATTTCCTTTCAAAAACACTCCTAGAAATTGGATTTGTGACGAAATTAACATCGAAATTTAAGATTTTAGCCATGAATTTCACGTCCGACCTCTCCTATGATCCCGTTCCACTGTGCGACGCTTGTAATTTCAGCAAAGTACTGAAATACTGCGATAAATCGTTGAATGAAGATGTTGCATGTGTCAGGAATTTGCGATTTGACAATTAGTTCTTAAGTAAAAGTTCGTAAGAAACACGATGGTGCCACTGGTTTTTTCTGGAATCAACTCCCAAGCTCAAAAAAAGTTCTCAAGTCAAGGCCAAAATGGAGGGGATATCCCACGCTATCCTGAAAGTCCACATCTACATCACGATAAACTCTCCATGCAAAGGTAGGAAGCAAATACATTAGCAGGGTTGCCGTGTTTTCAGTTTTGGAGTCCCCAAATAAGGTGGCAGCCCTGTCAATGTATTTGCTCCCTATCTTTGCATGGAGAGTTTGTCTTGATGTAGAGGTGGACTCTCAGGATAGCGTGGGATATACCCTCCATTTTGGCCTCAACTTGAGGGTTTTTTTTGAACTTGGGAGTTAATTTCAGAGAAAACCAGTGGCACCATCGTGTTTCTCACGAACTTTTACATGAGAATCAACTGTTAAATCGTAAATTCCTCACACATGCAACATCTCCATTTTAGCATAGTACTGAAATACTGCGATAAATCGTTGAATTTCGGGTGCTCAAAGGCATTGGCGGATCCAGAAATTCGGCAACACCGAAATTCATCCATTTAAACCCATCTTAAATAATCGATTCTTGTCGGGGCACCCATACTCCCTGAGAATCGATTCATTTCCATAGATTTAAATGGAGAAAAAACCATGTTGCCAATTTGCTGGATCCACCAATGCTCAAAGGGGATATAAAGTGGGTTCTTCTCGATGATTCGACTGTACAAAATTCTGCGTTGCTGTAAAGAACAATGCTGCAAAAATCTGAGAACGAAATAGGCTTCAAGATGAAACTATCAACTGTGCCTTCACTGGAAAAAAACACATTGGATCTAGAGTCCAGACACTTGAAAACATTGACAAGAAAGATAATCTTGATTCAATCGGATTTTTACTTGAATCGAAACGAAATCCGCTCAAATTAAGAGGCTTGGTTCTTGACTTAAGCTAGATTCTGATTGAATCAAGAGTATTTTTGCCTGGCGATGTTTTTAAGAGTCTGAACTCTAGATACAATGTGTTTTTCTCCAGTGAAATTCAAGTGCTTCGGGAATCATTTTTGACCCGGAACCACCTTTATATATACAATTTTATTCCCATTACATACGTATAGAAACATATTTCTTTTTCGTCAGTTTAAATGAGAATAATTCATGCAGAATGTGTGAAAATCTAAAAATCATGAGTTGAAAAACGCTGACTCCGCGAGTTTGGATATTAGAGCCTAAGACAGAGCGGAGCGGCGTGCTGCCGGCGCGAACCGGGCAATGGCGCCTACAAACCTAAGGGGATACTTCAAGCATTGCGCAATGCGTGACGTATCCCTTTGGGTTTGTAGGCGCCAGTGCGCTGGCTGGCCGGCCGCGTGCCACGGCGCGGCGCATCAAGCAACTATTTCACCACTGGTGTGTTGCACTGTATCATACGAAATTGAATGCGCTCCAACTTATCAAGAATGACAGCCGTCCTTTAAGAGTACGGAGCTTCCCTCTCAAAATAAATTAAGATACTACGGCACAAAAAGAGAGCGGTAGTCCAAAAACTCTCTAAGCCCTAGCATGTTTATTTCATAACGTTTGTCATAATTTTTGAATTTCATTGGAGGAAAAGGTGACTCAATTTAGGCAGATACATTCTTGAGTATGCCGTCAAGAAGATTTTATTTTCAATCAAGAAAAAAGTTGCTGAATTAAAGCAGATTTTTGATTAAATCAGGTCATTTTGTGCTGTGATGAAATTTAATCATGCTAAACGTTTTTGAATACAGATAATAGGACTAAATAAGTTATTCAACTAACGCTCTATTTTTGTCGTTTGTCACTTGATTTAATTTGCGAGGGAACTTCGTGCATTCTTTTGAAAGATGCAATCAATTATGAAAGGTTGGAGTTCCTTCAATTTCGTATGATACTGTGCAACACCTCCGAGGCGAGAATTTTGATGCGACCAGGAAAAATTGCCCTTGTGGAGCACCTTAATACACACCGCACTTACGCCTGAATATTCGGTTTTCCACTGTAGTTTTGAATGGGAGAAATATCGATGATCGATCGTTTACACTTCGTAATTGGTATCAATATTTATGAGATACCCGGCTTGAGTCTCAATTGGACCACATTTTGCAATGAGGAGCCGTTATTACTGGTTCAATTTAGAAACAACGTTATTCAATCGGCTGCCCTATGCAAAAAGGTGTTTTGATGAAGGAGGCAGAGACGGTGGTTCCTTATTGCAAAATTTAGTCCAATTTGACTCCCGAAGAGGTGTCTCACGGTTTGAGGTTTGGTTAAATTTCCGAGATTCATGAATTACTGGCCTACAGAATTGCGTGGTTGAAGTTCCGAGAATCTAATTACGGAGCGGATGGTCTTCTCTCCGGCAATAAACGGGATTATTATTTTCGACTGACAGGGCTTCATTCATCACCGCCAAGGATAACACCTTTCGGAATCGAGATGATTCACAATATTTACGATGAAGATTTATCGCTTTGAATTTATTCTTAGCGCGTGCCCCTATATCTATTCGTTTGCTTGAAAATATTATCATATCGATGGTAGAAAAGTTTCCGGTACTTCAAAATCTCCACCCTAATAGACCACTAGACAAGGTACGAAGTTTAGTTAGTGCGAAGTCACTGAAATGAGATTAGTTCACATTCCTTCGTTTCCCGGACGAAGAATCGTAGA